ACCTTCGTGGCTTTGCATGACACGGGTGCACTCACATACATGCAGGCAATACACTCATACACATAAAATAAAAATAATAAAGAAAAAAATTTTTTTCTTTTTTTAGACTTGAGGATGGCTCAGTGATTAGGAGCATTTACTGCTCTTCCAGTATTGATTTTTTAAATATTTTTTATTTGGGGGAAGGGTATGTGTATGTGAGTGCTGCCCTCTGGAGGGTAGAAAAAGATGTAAGATCCCTTGCAACTGGAGTTACAGGTGCTTTTGAGCTATTTGATATTGGTGCTGAGAACGGAACTTAAGTCATTTATAAGAGTAGTATGCACTCTTTAACTGCTGAGCCATCTCTCCAGCCCCAGAACTGTTCTTACCTATACTGCCACCACCTTTCTGTTAAAAGACTCGTCTTTACATACAACTTCACAATTTTGTTTTTGGTTCTAGGCAGTAATGCTTCTATCTTTATCTTATGTCTGCTTAAAGATATACTTAACTTTTTTCACACAACTAATAGGACATTGTAATGATGTAACTGTGTCCTTTTTTCCTTTAAAGAAATCACCTGCTTATTGTGGCAGATCTCTTATTGTGGCAGATCTCTTATTCTAGTTAATCCTTAGTACTCATGGTATAGTTCCTTAATGAAAAATTTAATTTTATTGTATTTGAAACATTACAATTTTTCATTAGTCCAAAAACTTTTGGTCTTTTTGAGACAGGATCTCCCTGTAGCCCCAGCTGTCCTGGAACTCATTATGTAGACCAGGGTGGCCTTGAACTCACAGAGATCCGCCTGCCTCTGCCTCTCGAGTGCTGGGATTAAAGGCGTGCGCCACCATGCCCGGCATTAGTCCAAAAACTTTGATAGTTAGAATAGTCTTCTCTTAGAAAGAATGAATTTTCAAAGTAATTGTTGTCTTGAGATAGGGTATCATTTTGTAGCCCTGACTGCCTGGAACTTGCTATGTAGACCAGCCTAGCCTCAAACTCACAGAGATCTGCCTGCCTCTGTCTTCCAAGCACTGGGACTAAAGATGTGGGCCACTACATCCAACTTTAATAGTGTCTTAATTCATCTTAACGTGAGGCAGGTAATGACTTTTAAGCAGTAGTGCTCCAGATTATAATTACCAGTTATTTCTGGAGGGGGTCTAGGGATAGAGATTATGCCACTACTTTTCTGAACTCTTAGATTCCTGTCTGATGTAAGGAAGATAATCCTCCAAGCCCTAGTCTTTAAAATTGAATCACTTGTCACTCAATTTTGTGGATTGTAGTAACTAAAGTCTAACATCTTTGTGAAGTTCTGCAGGCCTTGGAGGTACTCCCAGTAGCACCACCACCTGAACCAAGACCATTGACTACAGAGGAAGTTAAACAGCTAGAAGAACAAGAGGAAGATACATTCAGAGAACTAAGGATTTTCTTAAGAAATGTCACACACCGGCTTGCCATTGATAAACGATTCCGAGTCTTTACTAAGCCTGTTGACCCTGATGAGGTATTAATCTTTGAATCAAATGTTCTAAACCATAATAATACAAAATCAGAATATTTGAATAGATAGTTCCTATAATTGCCCTGCTGTACTTGTTTTCCCTGAGTTGAGACATAAACTGTCCTAAGCACAGAGAGACTTTACGAGCTTTCTAATGTATTTCCTTTCTTGTAGAGAATAAGCAGTTAATTTTAATGCCCATCCAGACATTCTAAGAACAATTGGAGAGTGTTTTAATGCCTCATGGTATTACAGTGCTATACAGAATTAAAATTGAGCTGAGAGGTATTTTTGTTTTTGTAGTGCAGGCTGGCCTGGAACCCAACCATGAGTCTAGGTCACCCTAGAATTTGAGGTTCTCCTGGATTATAGGTTTGTCACAATGTTTGGCAAGAGTCTGTTCTTAACTTGACATTGAAAGATGTTTGGCAGTTGCTTGATGAAAGAAGTACAGGATATTACTAGAGAATATAGCTGTCCAAGGACAGGAGTGAACATAAGCAGAAATAGGCTTAGATAGAACCAAAGAATTCATAATAGTATTCTTACCTCTTATTTATTCTGTATCCCATATTGCCTTTGCAGAAAAACTAAAATGTTTTTTATGTATAGTGATTTGGTCATTTGCTTGAATTTTAGGTTCCTGATTATGTCACTGTAATAAAGCAACCAATGGACCTTTCATCTGTAATCAGTAAAATTGATTTACATAAATATCTGACTGTGAAAGACTATTTGAGGGATATTGATCTAATCTGTAGTAATGCTTTAGAATACAACCCAGATAGAGATCCTGGAGGTGAGCATTAGTGAATTCCTTTTCAGGGGATGGTATGGGGGCTGCTAACATTTAACAAGGGTTGATTTTTACATTAGGTGCTATATTATAAATATTTTACATTCAAAATGCTGGTACAATCCTCACTATAGCCTTACCCCATTCTAGAACTGAAAAAGGTAAAGTTTAGAAAGATTAAAAAACTTTACTCAAGGTCACAATGCCAGGAAAGAACCAGGGCAAAATTTGAATATAGGTATTAATGATTTTCTTAGTTGAGACCATTACAGTTTTTGTTTTATTTTGAGATAGGTTATCACTTGTAGCCCTGACTGGCTTTGAACTTAGGGCAATCCTCCTGTCTCTACTTCCCAAGTGCTGGAAATACAGGCATGTGACATCATGCCTAGATAAAGTTTTATTATGAAAGTAATATAGTATGATACTTGCCCAATATTATTAGTAATGTGGAAAATATGTGTTGAAGTTTATTTTTTGTCTCTAAATCTCTGTATGTATACAGTTAAGTGGGGCTAACTTTCTAGACCTCTAATTGGTGGTACCTACAAATTAAATTGATTAATAGGGAAACTACTAAGAGCTCCTATTATTATTTGAGATAGAGATTCATGTACCCCAAGCTGGCTTTGACCTGGCTGTGTAGCTGAGAATAACCACGAACTCCTATTCCTCCTGCCTTTACCTCCTGGTCTCCGATTCCAGGATGAAGGGTATCCTTGAGAGTTCTTTCAATAACTGAAGAGAATACTGAGCTATACTCCATCCCCTTTTCTGGTATTTTTACAGATCTTAATAAAGCACAAAAATAAAATTGCTTGGGTGTAATCTACCATGTAGAATCAGATACCCAGAACATCAAATTAGCAACAAAACCAGAATATACACAGTTCTTATAACTTTTATTATTTGTGTAAAGAGGTGTAGTGACTACTAATCTTCACCCAGTATATATTAAGTTTATGTTCAGAAAATTATTTAAAGTAGAAAATTAAGACTTGTGTTTTCTCATTCCTCAGACCGTCTCATTAGGCATAGAGCCTGTGCTTTAAGAGATACAGCCTATGCCATAATTAAGGAGGAACTTGACGAAGACTTTGAGAAGCTTTGTGAGGAAATTCAGGAGTCTCGAAAGAAAAGAGGTAGGAAAACAACAGGGCATCTGAAGATGCCTTAGGTGAGTCCTTTGAATTAAGCATTTCTATAATTTTGAGTTCTGGAGATCCATTTTTTATTTCATTTATTTATTTATTGGTCATTTTGAGACAGGGTCTCTCTGTAGCCCCAGCTGGCCTGGAACTCGATATGTAGATCGTTCTGACTTCAAACTCAAAGAGATCCGCCTGCCTCTGCCCCCCAGGTGCTGGGAGTAAAGGTGTGCACCATCACACCTGGCTGGAAATCCATTTTTTAAGTCCTGTATATCTGCTTTTAAGGTTGTAGCTCCTCCAAATATGCACCATCTTACTACCATGTGATGCCAAAGCAAAATTCGACTCTCGGTGGTGATAAAAGATTAGATCAAGAGCGGAATGAAAATCCAAAGGCACCCACTACTCCAGTGGCTTGCAGCACACCTGGTAGGTTCTGGAATGATTTTCATTCAGGAATTTCTCTCATTCTCTTCTAGTGCCATTACTTTCTTCTGCACTTTGCTTTATTAACAGAGTTAATTGTGTCTGCGTAGCTGATACTAAAGCAACTAAACTGCAGATAAACAGATCCTTTTCCATATATATATTTTTTAATATTTTCTTTACTAATTTTATGTATATGAGTGTACTGCCTGCATGTATGTTGAGTGCACCTGTGTCATGCAGTGCTGCCATGGTCTGAAGAGGGCTTCGGATTCCCCTAGAACTGGAGTTAAGGATTGTTCATAGCTACCATGTGGGTGCTGGGAATTGAACCTGGGTCCTCTGCAAGAGCAGTCAGTGCTCTTAATGGTTGAGTCATCTCTCCAGCCCCTCCATATAGATTTTGACAAATATATTTGTTCACAAAGCCCTTGGATTGTTCTTAAGTTCCACTTTTTTTTTTTTTGTCTTTTTGAAGCAGGATCTCCCTGTAGCCCCAGCTGTCCTGGAACTCACTTTGTAGACCAGGCTGGCCTTGAACTCACAGAGATCCACCTGCCTCTGCCTCCCAAGTGCTGGGACTACAGGTGTGCGCCACCACGCCCAATTCCACTTCTTTATTGCGTCCCAACATTCAGCCATCTTCTAAGTCCTGTGAAATCTTACTTCTTTAACTAAGGTCTTTGAAATTTATCCTATATTCTCTCTTTCTAATTTAATAATTAACGATAAGTATTTCAACTTGAATCAAGTCATTATGTGTTCTAGGCTTTGTCCACATCCCCGTCTTCTCAGAGGACTCCACTCATGTTTCTGCATTTCAGCCATACAGAAGTGCCCTGGGTTCTTTACCATCTGGTGCAATCTTAGCATGTGTTTGTGTCCCGTTCCCTGCCGCCCTCCACTCCCCGACTCCCCTTAACTCTTCTTTCTTAGAGTTTAAACAGTTGTTACGTGGTCTTTATCTAGTTTTTTGTTTGTTTGTTTGTTTGTTTTTTCAATTTTTTGAAGCTCAATCGAAGAGGAAAATTCATAAAAAATCCAAGTGGTATATAGGCAACAAAACAAAGCGAAGGAAAATTTCACAGGCAAAAGATAGCCAGACTGCAGTGAATAATCAGATCAAGAGTGACACAGAAGAAACTCAGACTACAAGTGTAGAAAACACTGAACTTGGAAACACAGGAGAGTCTTCAATGGAAGAAAATGAGAAGCAAAATGCCTCTGAAAGAAGAATAGACTTGAAAAATAATTCAAGTACTTCTAATAACATTGAGAATGAACTCAAAGAATCTAAGAAAACTACAACATGTACACAATTGAGAAAAGATGTTGATTGCAATGGAGATGATTCTAACTCCCAGATCATAGACATTCCTGATGAAACTGAAACAAAAGGTAAGTCCCATTTAAAAGATGTTTTACAATAATTCCTAAACAACTGATAATATGCCAGTTCATTGGTTTTTTTTGTTCTCTTTGAGAGTACAAATGTTAACTAAGTAGAAAAATAGCATTATGTTAACCTTTTCAGCTAGTGTTGCCTTGGATGTACTTCGGCATTGAACACACCTGGATTGGAGCCTTTAGTCCACTGCCTAGTAGCTTGTGACTTTGAGCAGTGCAATTAACTTGTCAGCCTGTTTACTCATCTGGGGTACTTAGTTGCTGGATAATGGGACATTTTGCAGACTAAAAGAAAAAAATTCATTTAAATCCTATAGCCCAGGGCCTGTTTATGTAGCTTAAAACACCTCCAGGATGCTCTATCATTTTTAAGCAGATAAACAGTATCTTATGATTTCTTGCTTAATGATAGAGAAGAATTTTTATCCACCCCTATTATTCTTTAATCCCTTATGACTATATTACCCCAGTGATATTCTCCCCATGTTTTCCATTTAGAAAATTTCATTTGGATCTTGAACATCTCTTTTTTAAAACTGTAAAAAGCTAAACATTTAGTCATTAAAGCAAAAGGTTGGTAATGAGATCAAAATTTTATTTGATCAAAAATGAGTATCAACTAAGGTGGTTTGTTGTGGGTTTTATTTTGTGTGTGGGGGGGTAGGTTATGTTGATTTGTTTTTTGTTTTTGAGGCAGGGTATAGTAGCCCCAGCTGGCATCTACTCACTGTGTAGACCAGGAAGGCCTGGCTCTCATAGAGATCTCCCTACCTCTGCCTCCTGAGTGCTGGAATTAAAGGCATGTACACCACCATGCCTGGCCTTGACTAAGTTACTGAGACTGGGTGTTTGGGTGTTTGGTTTTACTTTCTGAGCTACAGCCACAGCTCTAACTTAGATAATTTTGCATTTATATGTAACTTTAAAAAAAAAATTTTTGAGTATTATTTCTTTTTAGAAAGACCTTTTTTTGGTTGGAATAAAATTATTCCATCTATGCTGGACATGGTGGCACACGCCTTTAATCCCAGCACTCGGGAGGCAGAGGCAGGCGGATCTCTGTGAGTTCAAGGCCAACCTGGTCTACATAGTGAGTTCCAGGACAGCTGGGGCTACAAGAAGACCCTGTCTCAAAAAGACCAAAAATATGAAAATGGTTCGTTACTCTCTTGACCCAGAAAACTCTACGAAATCATGCAAATCAAGAGGTTCCACCCTTCATGTTCACTTTAAGAACACACGTGAAACTGCCCAGGCCACCAAGGGTATGCATATCCAAAAAGCCACCAAGTATCTGAAAGATGTCACTTTAAAGAAGCAGTGTGTGTCATTCTGGCATTGTAACGGTGGAGTTGGTAGTAGGTGTGCCCAGGCCAAACAGTGGAGCTGGACACAAGGTCGGTGGCCCAAAAAGAGTGCTGAATTTTTGCTGCACATGCTTAAAAATGCAGAAAGTAATGCTGAACTTTAAGGGTTTAGATGTAGACTCTCTGGTCATTGAGCATATCCAGGTAAACAAATCGCCCAAGATGCACCACAGAACTTACAGATCTCATGGTCACATTAACCCATACATGATCGAAATGATCCTCACTGAAAAGGAACAAACTGTTCCTAAGCCTGAAGAGGAAGTTGCACAAAAGAAAAAGATATCCCAGAAGAAACTGAAGAAACAAAAACTTATGGCACGGGAATAAATTGAGCATAAAATAAACGCAAATAAAAGTGAAAAAAAATTATTTCATCTATAAACAAGGTATTTTAACATAGTATTTTTTTAAATGAATATTAAATCAGGTGAGTTAGACCGTATCCCAGATGTAACAAAGTGAAAGAAGCTGAGTGTGGTAGCCACGCCTTTAGTCCCAGTACTTGGGAGGCAGAAACAGACAGGTCTCTGTGAGTTCCAGGCCAGCTGGGGCTACAGAGAGACCTTGTCTCAAAAGGACAAAAATAATAATAAGGTTGTTACATACAGTGGTTAACTTGCAAATGATCGTTTGGGCAAACAGGAATCATGACATTAGAAAATGAAGAAAAACTAGCCATCTACAGTCTAGGGAGGTGATGAAGACAGTTACTAGGTAGATGCTGAGAGGCAGTTAATGCATCAGACCTTCTCAGATATAAAGCTAATTCATACTTTCTAAAGTATGTTTCCATGGTCACCTTCCTTTCCCATGATTATAACCAATGCTCTGCCAACAGCAACATCGTTTGTTGGCTCCACACCTTGACCTTTGTCCAGATGTCCATTGTGCACTCACCACCAACATTATAGACTGTCTCTGTTCATTCTGTTGGTGTAGTGCTCTACAAGATGCCCATGGCCAGACTACTTGGCATTGCAGTAGCCACTAATAGTGGTCTCCTGGCAGCAACTATTATATATCAGTTTATGCACATAGTTCTGCCTACAGACCATCTTTGAACCTATTGCCCAAAAGGCCTCTATTTAGAGAGACAGGTTCTTGCTTAGATAACAAATAGGATTCTTATCCCTGTCCTGCTTCTTAGAACTTTAGAAGTCTCTTTATACCCCTTGCAGCATGTTCATGTTCTTCCCCTCCCCTCTTTTCCCCTCCCCTCCCACTCTGTTTTATTGAATTTTTTTGTAGTGAGATCTCACTATGTGACCCAGGCCACCCTAAACTTCTGTATCCCAGGCTAGCCTTCAACTTACAGTCCTGCCACAGGCTTCCAAGCTGGGGTAGAGCATGTGCCACCAGCCCAGCTTACTCAGTTCTCTTACCCTCAGTTTTTCCTCATCTTTCAGAGAATAAACTGTTCTAAATCAAAGATCAGAAAAAAATTCTTTTTTATATTATTTTATGTATATGAGTATATTGCCTACATGTATATAAGTGCACCCGTGTTGGACAGTGTTGATAGAGGTCAGAAGAGGGCATCAGATCCCCTGGAGCTGGAGTTATGAATGGTTGTTAGCCTTCATGTGGATGCTGGGAACCAAGCCCAGGTCTTCGGCAAGAACAGCCAGTGCTCTTAACTACTGAGCCATCTCTGTAGCCCCCAGAAAACTCTTTAAAAGGCCAGATACCAGCCATTAAATACTTTAGGCTAGGTAGGGACTGTTATGTCTTCTTTGTCACATCTCGTCAGCCCTTGTTGGGAAAGGTAAAATGCACATGGTTCTGTGAATCTTTCCCAGCACTTGAATTCTGTGTCTTGTTGCCAAGATAGGCTGATCTGTTGAGGAATGCTCTTGGATTTGGGGCGGGGGGTGCTTGTCTTCCTTTTTTTGAGCCTTTGTAATTTCATCATACAACAGTTCTTAATAAAATTTAGACCCCATTCCCCCCACCAGACCTCATGTATTTTGCCATACATGTTAATGCCTATTCATTCAGGTATTTGTACCCAAATGTCCTTCAGTGTAAATTTCACCCACTGGAGTCTAGTCAGCCCATCTTCTGATTGTATGTAAGTCATACTCTACCTCACCCAGCAATCAGTCTCCAATAGTTCTTAGTATAATGCCAGCCCACCACCTATTTCTCTCCTCCCCTTTGAGCCCTTCTTTAATTGAATTGACATGGGTTCTGTGCTCAGTGCCACCATTGCCACAAGTTCACATGTGCAAGCTTCAAGTGGCCTGGAAGCCTCGTCCCTGTGTTCATGGTTTTTTTGAGAAAGGGTCTTACTGTGTAGATCAGGCTGGCCTTGATCTCACAGAGATCCACCTCCCTCTGCCTCCTCAAGTGCTGGGATTAAAGGCATGTGCCACCACACCTGCTGTACATTATTTTTTAATGTGAATAGTATGTCATGATCTTAGAACAGAAAGATTAGCTCAGAATTATTGTTACGTCCTAAGGACATATTCTCGGTGATTTCTGTCTAATATTTGTCTTAGGCATTATGTCTGTGAACCAAATACTAATTACTTACCTTCCCATTTTAGAAACGTGTGTTCTGCGAATGACTCGAGCTAGACGTTCCCAGGTAGAACAGCAGCAGCTCATCAGTGTGGAGACGGCTCTGGCAATTCTCTCTCAGCCTACCCCCTCACTTGTTGTGGACCATGAGCAATTAAATGTATGTAAACTGCAGTTAATGCTTTCACTAGTCACATCATCCTCAAGCCATGTATTGTAGACCGAGGATAGGCTGGCTACATAGGAATTCCTCTAGCTTCCTTTTCTTGCTCTTCTTCCCTTAATCACATGTAAGACTTTGTATTTGAGGATCTGTGGTAGGAACCAGAAGGAAAATAACTAAATGATTCTGATTTGCGGCTTCCTTTTCCCTACCAATTCCCCTCAGTTGAGGCTTCATCACTGTGTAAATAAAGTGACACTCTTGTGGGTCTTATTGTTAAATTGAATTCTTTGTATCAGATATGTAACATTTGACACTATTGATAGCTTTCTTTCCTTAATTCTTCTATCCTTATACCATCTTTGCCTTCACCTACATTGATGATCTTCTCAGGGGGTAGATAGGGTGGTTTGACTTACTATTTTCTCTACTTTTTTGTCCTATTGGGCCATTTCCTTTGTAAGAAGGGCGATTGTGCCTCAGATGCCCTACTAACACCCCTAAGTCTTCACTTGAGTATGTTAAAGTTGCTTGAAGAGAACTAATTTATTTTCTTTCCTCATCAAAATAAAATTTGGGGACTGGGGATCTACTTCTGTTGGTCCACTGCTTATCTAGCATGCATGAACCCTACTAGCCCTGCATAAAAATGGGTATGGTGTCACATACCTATAATCCCAGGGCTCAGGAGGTAGAGACAGGAAAAGCAGAAACTCAAGGTTATCCTTAGCTACATAAGGGAGTTTGAGAATAACCTGGGCGCAGAGCTACTAAGAATGTGATATCTGGTCGGGGGTGGTAGCACATGCCTTTAATCCCTATAGCATCTCTGATTTCAAGGCCAGCTTGGTCTACATAATGAGTTCCGGGTCACCTGGGGCTATAGGGAGACCCTGTCTCAAAAAGACCAAAAAAAAAAAAAAAAAAAAACCCAAAGACTGTGATGTCTGTATTTGTTAGAGAAAGCAGCCATATTCTTTGAGCAGTTTCTTCAAAAAGAAACATCTGAAAATTTTTACTTATTATGAAATGAAGTCCTTATAAATTTCATGGTTATAAAAATAGGGCCTTTGTATAGTTCACTATATTTGGGGTTAGGATTAGTAATTACTGTTTCAGTAATTAGTTTTTATAAATGTTACAGTTTTATTCTACTAGGTATATAGGCGTATATCATTTAGTCCATTATAAGCAGCCGTTTATTGAGACTACATCAACTTGTGTATTCTCTGATAATATAACCCACCAAGAGGGACTATAATTATGCAATGTTTCCATTAGACAAGCAGTAAAACAGTGACACTTTTATGAGTGGATAAACTTGCTATGGACTAGTTTGCATAAAGACAGTGGTTGGAGGTGACTAATGTATTGATTTCTAGGTTTTCGCATATTTCTAAGTTACTGTTCCTATTTTTTTTTAATGTGTATGAATGTATTGACTGCATGTATGTATGTGCACCCATGTCATGCAATGCCCACAGAGGACAAAAGAAGGCACTAGATCCCCTGGAATTGGAATTGAGGACAGCTGTTAGCTGCCATATGGGAACTGAACTCAGATCCTCTTCAAGTTCAACCAGTGCTCTTAACCACTGAGCCATCTCTCCAACCCTCATTCCTTATTTTTATGACCATTACTTAACCATTGCAGTTGGTTTTTACTTACTCTGATATCACAGCTTTGTAGGATCACACTTCAAGAATTACAGAAATCAAAACAGGCATTTTGGCTTATACCTGTCCTAGCCCTCAAGAGACTAAGGTTAGGAGGATTTCTACAAGTTTAAGGCTAGTCTGGATTATTTAGTGCGCTCTGGGCAGCCTGGGCTACAGAACGAAAGCCATTTCAAAAAATGTGAAGCAGGGCTGGGCATGGTGGCGCACGTCTTTAATCCCAGCACTTGGGAGGCAGAGGCAGGTGGATCTCTGTGAGTTCAAGGCCAGCCTGGTCTACATAGCGAGTTCCAGGTCAGCTGGGGCTACAGGGAGACCCCTGTCTCAAAGAGAAAAAAAAAGTGAAGCAAAACCAGAAACCACCAAATCTACCATTTCAGTCCTAAGAAAAAGCACCAGATGGAAACACTGTTTTATAAGAACCCTGAAGTGGCAAGGTAGTTTACCATTCATGCAGTTACCTTTTTTGGTTTCACATAATGAAATTCCTTAAAATATACTTAGTCTGCCATGATGTACACCACAGAAATGTTCTGTTAGTCTAATTTGAGGTTACCTGTAGAGGTTTGTGGATACAATTGAAATTGGCAGCCTCCACTGTAGGTTTTAGAATGAGAGTTGCTCAAGGCAAAGGCCAGTGTAGGAGAGTGCTGACAAAGTAAGAGCATTTCAGCTCCTCAAGTCTCCGGCTCTCAGCAGTGGCTTAGTCTACCCACACTGGCTTTATGATAACAGTTCCAAAGCATTCAGAATAAATATCTGTCGTAAGGAATTAATCTTACATTTGTAAACACTCCTTTTCTTTTAGAAGCTTTTGAAGACTGTTGTTAAAAAAAGTCAGAAATATAATATATTTCAACTGGAAAATTTGTATGCTGTAATCAGCCAGTGTATTTATGAGCATCGCAGGGACTATGATAAAACAACACTTATTCAGGTAAAAACTTTTATGCTCTTTTTGCCACATAATATATCTGTTCATTGTAAGAATTTAACTGATGATGTGAATTTATAATTTAAAGACCAGCTGAGGTATGCTGACACACACCTGTAATCCTGCCACTTTTCAGTGTCAATGAAACTGAAAAATACCTTTTGTTTCAATAAGGGTATGTAGCTCCTTTTAAAATAGCTTTTTTTAAAAAAAAATTTTATGTATATGAGTGTATTGCCTGTATGTTTGTAAGTGCACTGTGTCATGCAGTGCCCTTGGAGGTCAGAAAAGGTTATTTAATTCCCCTGGGACTGGATTTAAGGACAGTTGTTCGCTGGGAACCAAGCCTGGGTCCTCTGCAAGAGCAGTCAGTGCTCTTAACCATTAAGCCATCTCTCCAGTCCATGATAGCTTTTATTTTTAAATGTGTGAGTGTTTTGTCCTCCGTGGTGGCCAGAAGACAGTGTCAAATCCCCTGGAACTGGTGTTATGGATGGTTGTTAGCCACCATGCTGGGAACCAAACCCAGGTCTTCTTGCAAGAGCAGCCAGTGTTCTTAACCACTGAGCCATCTCCAGCCCTCTGAAAGATTTTTTTTTTTTTTTTTTTTTTTGGTTTTTTTGAAACGGGGGTCCCCTTTTCCCCCCAGCTGCCGTGAACCCATTAGGTAGCCCGGGGTGGCCTTAACCCCACAGAGCCCCCCCTGCCTCTGCCTCCCAAGTTCTGGGATTAAAGGCGTGCACCACCACGCCCAGTTTGAAAGATAAATTTTTAAGCCAGGTGTGATGGTGTTATCCTAGAACTTGGGGGCTGAAGCAAGAGACTCATCACAAGTTTAAGCAAGTCTAGTAATATAGTAAGACCTTGTCCTCCAATAAATAAATAAGCCTACTTGTCTTTACTTAACCTTACTTTATAGAAGGTCTTAGAATATTAATTTTTTTAAAAATTTTTTATCGGCACCTACAAAAAAAGTTACTTGCTGTATACCCACTATATATATATATATGTAGATATATAGATACTTATGTTCTCTAGAATGTGGAATACTATTATTAACTAATACTACACCAGTAATTGATCAGATACTTACATGAATATTAATATCATTAAGGGTATTTATTGAAAAAAGCAATGAAATGTTTTTAGCTTTTTTTCATATTAACTATTTTCTTTCTGCCCTTTATATAGAAAATGGAGCAAGTGGTAGAAAACTTCAGTTGTTTCAGATCATGATGTCATTGCAGCAAGTGTTTTTATATTCAACCATATTAAATTCTCTGACATGTCTGCATAACTAATGGAAGATGAAATCCTGCACCTTTGAGGAAAGGCTAAAAGGAAGAGATAACTGATGAACAAAGCACTGTAATAATAGATATAGTTGAAGTTTTGCCAGAACTTAATAAAGCTGTTTTGATAACTGATATTTTATGGCATTTACAAATAATTTGGCAGCATTGACTTTTTTTGTCATTTGAAGCACTTAATTTCACCCCTTCTAGTAGGTTTTTGTATCAACCTAGAAACATGTCTGTTGTGTCTTCACCATCTTTTCTGTCTTCTTTGTGGACCCTTTTTTCTTTGCTTTAATGCCTTTCTCCCACCTGCCTGTGGCTTCCTTTGGCTCTGTACTTGAAAGCCAGAATTCAAATTGTGATTTGCAGGAAGGCCTCAATACAATATTGTACTTAAATATCAAAATTAACGTTTTAGGTAAACATTTTTATAATTCTAATTTGAGTTAATAAAGATTTAAAATTTTTGGCTTACTTTTGTAATTATATACACAGCAAACATATTAGAAGCTAGTTTTTGTATTTGAAGACTTTCTACCATTGTGTTTAGATTATATTCTATAAATACCTTTTATATGCATACGTAAGACTATAAATATAAATTTTGTATTACTGATACCAAAAATATACTTCTTAAAGCCATTTTCTTCCATACAATATTTGTGGGTAGGGCATTCAAGCATCAGTTTGCAGAATAGCTTCTGTTGGAAACCTCGTTGGAGAGAAATATAGAACAGTCGTCTAAAGTTTGATATTGTGGTGTTTTCTTAGTAATGGTGGTGGTAGGGATTGAACCCAGGGCATAGTGCATGCTGAGCAAGTGCTGTACCAGTAAGCTACACACTTAGCTTAAGGTTGTAAATTTTAATGCAGTTTGAAAATGGAACTGCCTTTCATTTATTATCTGGATATTTAAAGCTTTCCAGAATTCAGTAATTTAGATACCTTAATTAATAAATGCTGCCTTATGTTATACCTATAAAAAGTGCCAAACACAAATAACATTTAAATATATGCATATTGTGGAAGATAATATGTGTGCAAGTTAAGGGTATACCTGTCATCTTAGCACTTGAGAAGCAGAGGCAGAAAGATCAGGAGTTTGAGGCCAGCCTGCCTACGTGAGACCTTGTCTCAAAAAAGCAAAACTAAAACCAAAAAAAGGAGAGGGGGCACATATTTATGCATACTAATTTTTATTTGAGTCTATTATAATTTATTCCAGATGCATCCTTTCATTTTGTACATTTTGTGTAATAAATTTTAAAGATGAAAACTCATTTGCCTCTAATTCTTTTTTTAACGAAACATTATTGTGTATGTGTGTGCCAAATCATACGGAGGTCAAAGGGCAACTTTGGAGTCTGTTCTCTCCCTGCTTTGTATGGGTTCTTGAAGTCAAATTCAAGCCATCAGGATTGTGGGCTAAGTGCCTTTAAAATTAATTGAAAATAGGGCTGGCTCAGCGGGTTAAGAACACTGGTTGTTCTTGCAGAAGACCCGGCTTTGAATCCCAGCACCCACATGGCTGCTAACAACTGTCCATAACTCTAGTCCCAGGGATTCTGACAGCCTCTTCTGACCTCTGCAGGCATTGCAGGACACGGGTGCAGTTACCTACACCCAGGCAATACACTCATACATATAAAAAAGTAATGAAGGTTTTTTTTTTTTTTTAATTGAAAATAAAGCCAGGCATGGTGGCTTACTTGTAATATTGGGCCTTGGGAGGATATAGGCAGGAGGATTGCCACAAGTTCAAGACTAGCCTGACCTATATAGTCATTCTGGGGTGGCAAAGCCCTTAGTAGTAAGACTGTCTCAAACACAAAAAAAATGTAATGCAAAACAAATACAAGTGCTCTTTCACACATCACTGCCTAATTTAAAGTGCTGTGGACTTGCCAGATACCATGGCATGTGCCTCTCACCCCAAGTACTGAAGGCTGAAGCAGGAGGCTCACTTAAGCCTAGGATTTTGAGACCAGCCTGAGAGCACACACCTTTAATTCCAGCACTTGGGAGGCAGAGGCAGGCAGATCTCTTGAGTTTGAAGCCAGCCTGGTCTACACAGTGAGTTCCAGGCCAGCTGGGGCTACAGGGAGACCCTGTCTCAAAAAGAAAAATTGTTTGATAAATGTATGTAATTAAATTGCCATCAATACTTGAATTATTTATATGGTTATGGTGTCATCCATTCTTAAGAGACTACAATGTTTGACCTTTCTGTGACATTGCAGATTTTGAGAGTGATCATCTGCATTCTTTTATTGCTTTCAAAGTCCTGTAAAAAGTCCCAAAGCTGGGGCTGGAGAGAGGACTCAGTGGTCAGCAGCACTGACTGCTCTTGCAGAGGACCCAGGTTCAGTTTCCAGCATCCACACAGCAACTAACAACCATCCATAACTCCAGTTCCAGGGGATCCAATGCCCTCTTCTGACTTCTGTGGACTTTGTACATGATGCACTTACATACAGGCAAAGCACTCACACATACAAAATAAAAGTAAAATTTTAAATCCCAAATTAAGCCAAGTATGGTGGTGCATGTCTTTAACCCCAACAACTTGAGAGGCAGATACAGGTGGCCCTCTGTAAGATCAAGACCAACCTGGTCTACATTGTGAGTTCCAGTCCAGGTGGGGCTCCAGGGAGACCTTGTCTCAAAAATAATAAAATACCATAGTTAGTGCTTAGGGATTAAGAGCAGGTACTGCTCTTCCAGAGAACCCAAGTCCAATCCCCAGCAACCACAGAGTGGCCCAGAGCTACCTCTGAATTCCAGCTCCTGGAAGATCAACACCTCTAGCTTCTAGAGACACTTGGACTCGTACACATTACCACACATTTTTTTTTATTTGAAAGTGTTTTTTTGTTTGCTAAAAGGCACACTATTTAGAACAATTAAAGAATGAATAGTCCATAAAGGAAGTTAAGGAAGCAATTCAATTTGTAATAGTTTTTGTTGCTATGACTAAATACCTGGAAAGTAAGTAAAGATTCTGGCTCACAATTTTGAAGGTTTTAAACAATGATTAGCTGGCTTCATTGCTTTGGAGTCTGTGGGAAGGCTGCTCACCTCCTAGCTGTCAGGAAGCAAAGTAAGAACCCCAGATAGTGATGTCCTATTTGGAGGCTAACCACAAAGCTACACTAATCAAAGCAGTGTGGTACAGGAATGAGGACACAACTCCATGGGACAGATTTGAAAGTCCAGAAGTCGGCCAAAATGTGAGTTGTACAAAAGTGCCCAAGTTCATGAACTAGGAAAAGGACAGTTTTTCCAATGGGGCCAGGACGACTGTCCAGGTGCAAGTCAAGTTGGGCCTTTGTTTCGAGTCATAAAAATAAAATGAATCAAAGGCCTTATTTCAAGAGCTGAAACTACAATACCTTGATGAAAATGGGCAAAACTTCATGAACTTTGATTCCGCAATCATATATATTAGCACCAGAAACCAGGGGCAGAGATTTTTAGAATTTAGCTTCATTAAAAGTTTAGAACTACTTCAAAATTTCAAACCATGTATTTTTTTTCTGTGTATGAGTGTGTTACCTGCATGTATGTATGTAAGCGCACCCATGTCATGCAATGCCCATGGAGGTCAGAAAAAGATGTTGGGCCATCTCTCTAGTCACTCAAATCATGTATTTTAAAGGAATCCTAAAAAGAACACACTGGATGTGCTTGCTTGACTGTTGGCAGTCCAGGAGTGTTCGGGGTATTCTGGAAGATCCCCCTCTTGGAATTTGTCTGATGTTTTTCTCAAGGGTAGACCAGAATTAATGACTTTTGGAAGGTCTTGGAGTTGCAAGCGAACAGGTCACTGTTGCTTACTTCCAAATCTGAGTTGATTGTTTATTGAATTGGTCACTGATGCAGTGTTTCTCAGGCTTCTCCACTGAGAAATTATTTTCTCCCTCTTACTATTCTCTGGTGAGAATGATAGTTTCTAGCTGATTTGAGGTGGAGGTTGCTTTTTTTTTAACCTTAATTTTTAATTTTTTAACATTTTTATGTATTTAAGTGTTATGCCTGCATGTATGTAAGTGCACCCATTGTCACGCAGTGCCTGAGAAGGACAAAAGAGGGGGTCAGATCCCCTGGAATTGGAATTACAGACAGTTGTTAGCTGCCATGTGGGTGCTGGTATTCAAACCCCAGTCCTCTGCAAGAGCAGCCAGTGTTCTTAACTACTGAGCCATCTCTCCAGCTCCGATTTTGTTTTTTGAATCAGGGTCTCCCGGTAGCCCCTTTTGGCCTAGATCTCTCTATGTAGACCAGGCTGGCCTTGAACTCATTGATATCCACCTGCCTCTGCCTCCAAAGTGCGGGCATTAAAAATGAGCTACCACCCAGGCCATTTTTAGCTGATTCCATTAGGAATACCAATAAGTGTTCTGTAGGGTTAATTGAACTTATTTCAGAGTCCTGTTTCCTCTACACACAGCACACACTGACAGAACATTTTGTTGCTCAAATGATGCAACATTCTAGGTATATTACAGGAGTGAAAACTCACTTTATGTTAAGGCATTAGGAAAAGATGGCCAGTGGGGCTCCTGGTATTCTCCATGTTTTGTTCCTAGTAGCCACAAGCAATATTTTCAAGTAGAAACTACTTGTTTCCACTGAAGCAAAATGTGACCGCATGTCTTAATTCTGGCCAATGGGATACAAAAGGAAGTGCAGTTTCTAGGAAAGCTCCGTGTGGGGGTCAAGGGCTGAGACTCCAGAAGCCATCAGACTATGAGAAGACTTTAAAGATGGAACTTGGGCCTGAGTTCATAAAAGAAGGATGGATCCTTACTCCTGATAACCTTGGGCAACCACTATTTAAGTGCTCTTAACTGCATTTGGATTTCTTCAGAGTACATTTCTACCTCGTTCTCCTGGGTCTGTTCCTGATAGTGAAATGCTGTTCTTAACCAGTGAAGGCATATACGGCACTGAGTTGAAAACTGTTCTGTGAACTGAACTCAAAACCTCTCACACTGTACCACTGTACTACATCCCTAGCCTGGAGACCATTTTTTTTTAACTTTAAAAAAATTTTTATTTTATTTTTTTATTTACTTATTTATTTTTTAGAAAGGGTCTCCTTGTAGCCCCAGCTGTCCTGGAACTCACTGTGTAGACCAGGCTGGCCTCGAACTCACAAAGATCCGCCTGCCTCTGCTTCCCAAGTGCTGGGATTAAAGACATGTGCCACCACGCCTGGCTATTTATTTTATTTTGTGTGTATGTGTGTGTGTATTGCCTGCATGTAGATAAGTGCACCTGTGTCGTGCAATGCCGGCGGAGGTCAGAAGAAGCTGTCAGATCCCCTGGGACTAGAGTTACGGACAGTTGTTAGCTACCATGTGGGTGCTGGGATTCTAACCTGGGTCTTCTGCAAGAACAACCAGTGTTCTTAACTGCTGAGCCATCCCTCCAGCCCCTGGAGACCATATTTTTGATGTTCAAAGTCTCTAAAGGTGGTTTTCATCTGCTACTTAATCGGAAGTGGAGGTTGGAAAGATGTAGTTACTGAGCCCTTGAGTACACAGGACGTGGCATCAAGTGGACTTGCAAAAAACTTGTGGAGAGGTCCAGCAGAGTAACCACTGCAGGCATGAGAGTCACAGGGAAGTGTTTTTCTAAAGGAAAAGACCCACTTTGGGAAACCTGCAGGGTAAAGATCCTTCCAGAGTTGTAAAGATAGGTACCCGAAGATTGCCAGGGACAGAAAAGTTGCCAGTTAAGGTCTGAGTTGAATACAGTTGGGAATATCTGGACTTTGCAGCAGTGTAGGGAAACTGGAAAGGCAGGAGGGAGCAGACTCTGGTTCACATTCCACACTTTATGGTTACCTCAAAAATGACGCCCCCCCCCAAAAAAATCTTTGTCCTAATCTCTAGAACAGTGACTGTTACATTATATAGTAAAACAAACAGGGACTGAGCACAGTTGTCAGGTCAGATGTTGAGATGGGAGATGAGCTCCACTTAGCACTATAGGCTTCAGTGCAATCACATGCAAACTTGTAAAGCAGAGAGGGAGGCCACACAACACAGCTGGCATTGCACCCGGCATCACATCAGCATCATATGGCCACGAGCCCAGAAAATGCCACAGCCAGCCACCC